GTGTTTATTTGTTTGTGGGTTAATGGGAAGGTGTTTCTCGTGAAAGAATGGGAAATTGGAGGATACGATTCTCTTAGATAACTGAGAGACCCGCCTTTACCCACTCCCCACACTGAGCAATTGGCTGAAAAGTGGCAATGGCTGAGGACAGGGAAGGGGCCTCTGAGCGTCTAAATCAGGGAATGGTCCAAAAGACACAGCTGAAGGGGAAAGAGAAAATAAAGCCAAAGTGGAGGAAAAATACAGTTGAAATATATATTGTAATGATTGCAATAACAATAATAATAATCCTTGCATTCAATATAACTCCTTTCACATCTGGAGAGCATAGCATTCCGCAGCATTTACTCTAAAGAGTAGTGACTGTGTATTTGTAGCTAATCAATTTGTAGCAGCAACGTTTCACAAACAGCTGTGAAGTGAATGATCAAGTGTATCTTGGGGATTGTTGGCTAGAACTCGCTTCTCTTTTCGAATAGTGCTCTGGAAGCTTTAACATTTACCTGTTATTGCCTATTAAACTGCTTATTTCAAGGACTATTTTATTAAATTGTCAAGGGATAGTTACAGACATTACAATCAAATCTTGCACAATTGCTGTCAGTGATTTATTTCTTCTCAAATGACCTTGAATGATTTGAAGTCATTTCACAAATCAAACAAGGACATTTGGAAATTTCCAACAAATGGGTGTGTAAAGGGGAGAGGGATCTAATCATAGACAATTTTGTTTAAAAAGTTTGAAATGTATTTTGACAAGAAAATGTCTTTCATTAATATTAGGTCTTCAGCCCTATAAACGGGCTGTATAGAAAGCTTTCGGGCGTTCCCATTATATAATGTGTGTAAGCAATCATGGCAGCTAATTTGCACATAGCAATATTCAACAAACAGATATGAAGTGACTGACTAATTTTGTCTTGGGGATTGTTGGTCAGGACAACAGGAGAAACTCTCTTTAGTTCTATTGGTTCTTTAATGTCCATGTGAACAAGCAGACAGCACTTTTTAGTTTAAAGATCATCTGAAGGACAGCACCATGAACAATGCAGCGCTCTCCCAGGACTGTCTTGGAGTATCAACCAAGAGTACAAGGTTGAAGTTCTCAAGTGGGTTTAAACCCCAAAACTTCCTACTCCAAGAAGATAGGCCCGATTGACTGAACCAAGGTAACATCTCAGGTTGTAACTTGAATGATAGATTGCGATTTGAGGGCATACTATAAGTTGATCAATGTTACAGTATTCCAACCTTGTACAGATCACTGCCAAGGCCACATTTAGAATAATGGGAGCTAATTTGGGGCTATTTCTTAATGAGGTTTCTTAATAAGCAATCTGATTAATGCAAATGGGGACTTCTTATGTTAACTGAAAGTGTAACATGATGACCCATGGAAATTCTGATCCCATGGGATCTACTTTCACAGCAGAGTTCCTATGAGACTATATTATTTTTCAAGTCCCAAAACAATCTGATTTTGGTCAGATGGGCGTCTGAAACATTTGGAAGCATATCATCATGCTTAAGATATCTAAACCAGAGAGCATTCCATATTCGTATGTATGCCACTTATGGAAATTTCCTTGTGCTTAGAATGGAATTCCTTGGGAGGGATGCACTCTGTTTTCCTAATTCCAGAAAGTATTAAGTGCAGGTTGGTGAGAACCAAGGATTGGGAACCCCAGGATGTGCGGTGGGGTACTGCTGGAGTTTAAAAATTGACCTTGAAGAATTGACAAGAGAATAAGGATATTCTAGGATTTATGTTGAGAGACTTATATATTATTAGACTTGGAAAATATATTCAAGGGGACATGATGCAGGTCTTTAGAATCCTGAGAGGCATGAACTATGTAATGGTTAGAAGACTATTCAACTTGATTATTAGAACAAAGCTTAAAATTAAAGTCTCAAATTAGTCCAAGTATTCTCCTATCACACACCTACAGATTAATACATATTAATCTGGCTCGGTCCCGGGATCCGTTACTGTAAAGCACTCTGAGACGCCACCCGGCGTGGAGGATGCAATATAAATCCAATATAAATCCAAGTTGTTGTTGTTGCATATGTGAAAACTGACTTCAAGCAAATGCAGTTCCTGTTGTGTCTTAACAGCTTAGAAATAAACTGTACAAGTGATTGCTTGAGAACATTATTGAGGAGTGTAGGCATAGGCACAAAGATTAATTGTAAAAGACACAATGCTTTCTACTGTGGAGGTTGTGAGTGAATGTTCGAGAAGTGCAGATGCGGAGATTATAATACTAATAATATCCTTGGGATTGATATAATGCTTTTCGTGTCATCAAGACATCTCAAAGCACTTCACAGGATTTTACTGTGAAAGATAGGGGTTGTATTTTGTGGTTGAGATAGATTGACACATTCTGATGTGTTTTCTTGTGGTTTCAGGTCTATGTAGAAACTAGATAGAGGAGATTGAATGGAAAGGGTTAAGTCCACGGTAGGATGGTGTTTCATGTGGTCTTTATAGACCGTGAACTTGATGGACTGAAGACGTTTTAAACGTTATGCTTTTAAAGAAAAAGTTGCCTGTGGAATACTTCGTTCACCAAGAAAGGCATTTCCCCTTTAATTGGTCCTTGCAGTTTAACTCTCAGCACCAATAGGCATG